ATTAACACAGGAAGACCAGAGTCAGAAGAATCTGAATTGACTGTAACTCACGCTCCTTGCAAATTTGTCTCCTGCAGTCCGTGTCTGCCTGAATTGAACTCTGAGGTTCAGCATCTCACAGGTGATGAGATGCTGTAGGATCATCAGCAGATGATGTACAGATGAGAACTCTGTAGGACCATGCATATTGGCAGGACAGAAGCATGCATGTCGGAGGACAAGAGGTTTCAAGAAAAAAGCTCCGTCTGTGTAAGACAATGCACTTACTAGTATTTGAAAAGAAAATCATTTGAGGAAAAGGATAAAGAATGCAAACCCTAGCTTAGAATGGATCCTATACACAGAGACAGATCTGTGTGAAATCAGAAGCAATGAGTTTCTAAACTGTAATGTTGCTGACCCCATTCAGGATGCTAGCCTGCATAGCATCCCCTTCCCCTGGAACACTAACCCTTCAAGCTAGGAGGCAGGCTTTTTTTTCTTGTTTTGTTAGCTTGAAATCTACATCAGTCTTTTAAATCCTTTTTTTCACCTTATTATTTGTTACTATTTCCTACTTAGATCATGTTCATTTTGTACTTGGTATGAAATAAACAACCTAGGATGGATACACAGCCCGTTCCCAAGTCCCTGCTTACAGTATCACTGTATGCTCTATTCCCAAGTCCTTAAATCTAAATGCCTAAGTCATGTCTGGAGAAGAATCAAAGCCTAAGATTTTGTCCTTACTGGCCAAAAATAATGGCCCCTCTCTTCCTTCCTCTCACATTGTCTCTTTTCTGTACCATGTCTTAAACTCAAAAGGAAAGTAGTTTAGTGCCTTCCCAGCTAAATTAGTTTTTTCTTCCATAGTCATGGGAATATGGGTTTAAACCTCAGGCCAAGTAAGATGTAGAACATGGTCTCACTTTCTAGGTGAGCAGCTATTAAGCTACCTTGCTACCTCACAAAACATAATTATCACTGAAATTACTGCCTCTTCTGGCTGTGTTTTCAAAGAGAAGAATTAACCCAATCAGACTACACAGACAGTCTGATCTCAGGCAGCAGAATAAAGGAAAGAATTTAAGCTATGACTAAAATAGTCATAGCTTAACCTGCAAGTCTTGCAGACATGCTTTTGTCACAGCTGCAATTGGTATCCAATTTCCAGACAAATGCATTTCGAGAGATGGTTCCCATTTTCATTTTCCTTAGTAGCTGGCTTTGGTATCTCCTCACTTCCAACGGACATGCTAGTGCTAGTATCTAACTTCCTCTAGTCACTGAACATAGGGTAGGCTCCCACTCGGTAAACCCTGGTGCACCCGTGTGTTTGGGAATCTGATCATCCCAGACTTGGTTGTGTTGGTGTAAACTGAGACCGCCTCGGTAGAGTTCAGAAGGGAATCCTCTAGCATATATAGTCCTGGTCTGTAGGAATGCAGCCTGCTCCCTCCTCCACTCAGCTCTCCCAAAGCTGGAGATGGAATAGCAACATTTTAGGGCAGACTTGCACTTGCAAATGATAATAGGAATTTGCTATGGACCACAATTGTGGACACAATTGATGGACACAAAACTAGATGGACTCTCTTGTTTTCCTCACAAATATACATTGCAATGCCTGTCCCTATTTGCACATTGCCTCAAGAGCAAAATGCAAGTATTACATTTTATCATAGAAAATAAAAATATTCTACATTATTCCTGAACTGGGGATGCTCAGTTCCAGAACTACATTTTTAGACCTCACACAATTAATGTACACAGCAATATTCAGCACAGAGTACTGGAGGACTGGAAAGACATAACTGAGAGCTGATTTTCCAACCTAACTACCTATCAAATGATTTGTATCAGGTTGCATTGGGACCTATATTACAGTTGCCACTGGGATAAGCACTGTCCAAAGGCAAGGCAAAATGAGGGTTTCTGTCCCAAAGAGCTTACAAAGTAAATTCAGTACTTCAAGGAACACTCGAGAACTGAGGCAGTCATGTAATACTTCTACGATAACTTCACATTTGGAAAAACAAACTTACATATTATTCAAATGCTAAGTAAAAACCAGAGCTTTCACCCTTCAAAACAATCTAGGAAAGCACAGTGTCTTTTCAATGAGGCTACGTAGCTAGGGACTACTGTGGCAGCAAACACAGGCAGTGCTAATGCAAGAGTACATTTTCAGAAAAGACTGTGCACAGTTTATGTTATTAAAGAAGATATATTATCAGATGTTTGTTGCAAAAATAGAAAAAGGGAAAAACATCCTGCTTAGCTAAGGGTGCTTTCATTTAAGGAAACACTGAAGCATGTAGTTAGGTCTATTAATATTCAGGTCAGTTCTCATGCACCCACCATGACCTCACTGCTTTCTTGACTCAGCAGAAAAAGGGGTTTATAAAAAACATCTCATTTTTTTTTGAAAGCTACTATCAGTTAAACCTGTGCAAATATTTTTAGAATTAATACTCTCTCCTATACTTCTCCACCAAAGTACTGAAAATGCACATTCCTACTTTTGTAAAGAGGGAAAAAAGCTCCAAAACAACCAGACAATTGCTTTGTCGTTATTTAGAGTATAAAGAGCTCTAAATTCTTACTTCTGGAGACATACCCAGAATTAAATCAACTGTCAAACAAGAGTACAGGAAGTAATTTTGATTCCATCAGTATTAGTGGAACTTTTTCTTCAGTTCTTTCCTACAAAACAGGCAAACATGACCAAAATCTGACCAAACAGCTTGAAAGATCAGGAGTTAAAAACATGAAATTTCCCTGTATATCAACCATAACTTAAAACATTATTGACAAGAAAACTGTACTTAAAGTTGATCAACCCAGACTCCTGCAGGCTCTGAACATGAGTAAAGTATTGTGAAACAGTGCAAATGCAAAATATTCTGAAAGACTTGCCATCTACTGGAATTTCTAGATATACTATTTAAACTTCTAACTTTACAAAAGAAACATGTTCTTTCCAAGAATACAGTTCTACAAAGCAGATATTACAAAGTATTTTCAATCTGAGCAACAAAAGATTATTTTTATGTGAACAAATCTGGGACTCCAAAGAGCTGAGCGTGTGATAACACAACCCAGTCAAACATGTGTGACCATCCACAACAGACAAGTAGAAAAATGATGGTCATATTCTACTGTGACAGGGAAATCTGGTGATACAAATAACGGACATGACAGAAGAAATGACTGGAGGCAAAGTAGAAAGTCTTGGGTTTTAAGCAATCTCTAATTTTAATTAAGGAAACATTCTCTGTGGCCTGATATGCAGAGTTTTGTGTTTTATTTTAAGCTGTTATCTCTGTGATCTCTCAACAAGCAGATCCCCATCTTCCAAGCAGCCAGCAGGATGCTGCTAGGCTGTGACGACTGATGTAATTAGAGAGGGCAGTGTGCAAGTACCACATGTTGAATGAATGTTTAAAAATAAAGGCATCATTTCAGCTTCTGAGGGAGCAATACATACCACTATGTACTCCTGCACACTTCAGTCATGCCCTACAGCAAAAATTACTGTAAAGCATTTGGACTTCCTTCTCAAGGAGAAGTACTGATACTATCAGTGCATTCACAACCACCCATTATTGTTCCATGTTATTTTTTCTAAGATAAATTTTTAGGGATGAAGAGTCCAGTGCATGATGTCTTTCATTGTAAGTTTCTAATTATCTACCTAATTATTTACTTGTACTACAGGAAGAAATGCTTGAAATTTAATAAGTAGATCTAACAACAGTAAATAAGTAAGTAATGTTTGCTTTTGTTCTGGGTCTTAAAAGTAAGAAAAACAAGTGAGTTTTTAGTTCTGTTATTAAAAACAGCACTTACTGTTATACCTGTAAGGCTTCCAACCATAGTCTTTAGATCAGACCGGAGATAACATTCCACCATAATTTTAAATATTTCAGAAGGGGGGGCAGGGAGAAGAAAAAAAAAAAAGAAGATGCATTCAACTACATCACCAAAACCTGTGCGTATGCGGGTATTAAAATCTGTAGCTTTTCCTGAAAGTTTTGATATGAATAAACAAATCTCCAGTGTCACAGAATCTCTGAGAACACATTCTGTACTGCTTCAGCATGGATGAAGTATTTTTTAAAAACATATGCATTCTTATTTAATATGCTGTGTAATATGCTGTGTTTAAATTCTAAGCTAAACAAATCCTATTGCCAGAGCAATCAAAACTACTCCTATGAAGAAGGCTGTATTTCCAGGAAAAGTTAAATATCACCAAGTTAGAAGTGTATTTTGTTCTTTGTGTATATACCTATTAACTCTGATGACATAGTATATTGGAAGAGATTTACATGAATAAACCCAGAAACTCATGAACTTAAACAATCCCTTTAATATAACAAGCACATCCAACTTTCAAATATAAACTGAAACCAACCAACAAAAAAGAAATGCAGAACAACTTTCTGAATGCCAAAAAGGGCTTATGCAAAACAGTGCACATTTATTCGAGGTATCGTATCCATGAAAACAAAACAAAACAAACCAAACTATCTACATTTAAAAAGAATTTTTACTTAGCAAGGCAAAAGAAGTTAAGTGGCACATACAGAGTAAACAGATGTAAACAGTGTAAAAATACAGAATGTTAATACCAACCAACCCAAAACTTTGGTTATGAAAACTGAAATAACCCAATATATTAAAGAAAAATAAACCAGAGGCATGCAAAATATTATTTTTAAAATACATTCATCCATGTGGCTAAGTGAAAGTCACAAGTGAGATGGATTTAGAAATGCAGTTTTCCTCCTTTCTTTAATTTCCTTAGATTGATTGTCATTCAATTTTCCGCTTAAGTGGAATGGCTGATGAAAAGCTTTCAGCCTTCTTCAACACACTGGTAACTGATTTTTTGAAGACTCCAAACAGGTTTTGCAAAGGAGGTTTAGGTAATTGTGTTTTTATGATATAGCGTGATATACAACCTCGCTCAAATGCTGCAAGCAAATGGTGCATGATCTGTTACCATTCTGGAAGGCAAAAGCTTGGAGAACAGTCAAGTTGCTCCAGATGGAATTGAAAGATTTTTGAGTTTCTCCTCACAAGAGCAGTGACAAACTTCATGGTAAATCAGGTAAGCCACTTAACATTTTATTTGCCATAGAGAATATTTTGGCAACCAAGATATATTAGAGGAATCTGAATAGTGACCTGCACTGCATGTACTTTTCAGAAAAATCAAGTTTGTTTCAGATATGCATCAGGAGCCTAAACAGCACAAGGCTTTTCACATTGAAGCAACTATACTGATGCCGTCCATCTTAGATGCACCTACAGGTCTTTCCTGTCTTCTGCTTCATTTAAACTGTCCTGAAAAGAGACAGATTAAAAATAATTTTTTATGTTTGGCAAGATCAGAAACCATTGACTTCAGATGCCACATTTTGCCCCCTTGAAGTCATACGTGATTTGTTCACTATACACCCTTCAAAGCTGTATTCCCATCAGTACCACCCCACATAACACATGCGCTTCTGATCCTAGTACAGTAACAGCCATGCAGCCTGCTTCTGCTCCCTGCTCATGTTACAGCTGAACTGTGCAGCAAAATCAGCAGAAAACGTTTTCTGCTATCAACTGATTCATCCTTAGGAGCTGCATCTACTGTGTGCTCAGTATCTTCTGTTCTTCCCATTCAGAGGTAAACAGAAAAAACTGTAAGGATGTGTGTTCTAGACCACAAGACTGTTAGAAATGCAGTAGGACTACTACAGCTCATTACACAGGGAAGGACAACAAAGATAGGACATGCATGGTAGTCTTAATTCGAATACAGAGATCAGTTGAGCAATCTCTGTAAAAGTATAGGGTGAGGCTGGGAATCAGTAAGCAGCTTCACAGAGTACAGGAAAAAGATTATAACCAGCTCAAATTTGCCTTTTTTAAAATTTTACTTTATTAATACAGGACCAACAAACAGCTCTTCTTGAAAAGCAGATCACCATAATTTTAACATCAATAATTTATTTTCTTGTAATCAGGCTAGCTTTCATTTTTATTGAATTTTTATTGAATTCTGAGGCAGATGTTAGGTATGGAACATACAAATGCCTGTCAGACAACTAAAGAACAAGTAGGGCACCCAGTTCTACCAGAAATAATTACTGTACTGGGTATTATAGCCATGCGCATATGCAAATACCCAATCAAACTGCTAATTCAGCTTTTGCTTGTTATGTTTCTCTTTTTTTTATTTTGTACTTCAGTTTGAATTTTTATAGCAGCATGTTTTTAGCATAGACTGTGTTGGGTTTTGGGTTTTTTTGTTGTTGTTGTTGTTTTATTTTTTGTTGTTGTTGTTCTTGCGTATAACAGTATTGCAACATTTATAATCCAGTATTGCAAACATGTTTAAAGAGCAAACAAAATAAAATTACTTTTATAAATGATGTATATACCACACACACACAACTCTTATAATTTTCTTACAAGATTTCAGTTTGATCATCACATGCAAAACTATCTGAATCTTATTTCCCAAGTGACAGCAAAATAAGAGTCTAATGATGACCTGAGCTTTGTCACCTGAAGTGCAAAAAAGAAAATGCTAATAGCTTTGCCATCCAGTCCTTGAAAAACAAAATTCTACTATTGTTCACGAAGTTTAAGGAGTGCTGTCCATTGTAACTTTATGCTATACTAAAGATTTTGGTAATTTATCTTGCATAATAAATAGCCAACAAGCAGAATTTTGCTGATACAATTTCAGAACGTCGCGCTCATATAGCGATCCAGAACCACCTACCTGAAGGCGTTCATATTCTTTCATCAGATGATCATATTCTCTTTTAAGGCCTTCAGACTGCTTTTTAACGGCAGTCACTTCATCATTTGCCTTGATGAGAGCTGTAAAATATCAGAATTAGTGTTTTAATTATTACCTGTATTTCTGCAGTTCCTCAAAGCCCTAGTTATATATTAGGGCTCCACTGCACTAGACAGTCCTTCCTCTAAAAAAGCTTGAATTTAAAACAGAGCATCACAGATGGACACAGGAAGAGATGTGCAGGACAGGGAGAGGAAAGAGAATGACTTGTGTTCAGGAAGAGCAGCACAAGGAACAGGAAGGGGCTGTAAGAAAGATAAGGGCAAGACCAATAAACTGCTGACAGAGCTGACAAGTTAGTGATGACTACAGCGTTCCGTCACATTGCAGAAGACAGTTCTAGAAAAAGAAAACTCTACAACCCTGAAATCAAAACTGTCAGCCCTCTTAAAACAAAGAGGGAACTCAAACACTGGGCAAGATTTTAGTAAAGCAACTGAGGCAGTCTATAGAATGGGGGGGAGGGGAAGAGAGAGATAATACATTATTATAGGAGCATAGACCCCCCGCTTTTCACCCTGTTTCATATTTTACCATGCATGAGTTAATTCATTAGAAATATCACCTTATAGACGAGAAGGCAGAGATGGTGGTAGTAGGATAGACAACTGTGAACAGGTTTTTAACATGAGAAAAAGTAATTATTACTCTACTCACAATCTCAACAGCAATAAACTGAGAGCATGTCTAAGCTGCAGTACAAAACAGCCCAGGACTCCATAGGGGCTAATTTACAATGCAGGGTAAATCACCATGAAGTTTCATAAAGCCATTACTCCTAAGCTGTTATGTAAGCATTCAGGTAAGGTCATTTAGACATTTTTATATTCTTGTGCTATAGGTATCTCAGGTATCTTTATACTTCTCTGCTGTAGCAGCACAGGCATACTCTAAAACTTGATTTATTCATGCTAAAACAGAGAAACATTGTTAATGACCTATAAGGCTGCCTCACATAGCCATATTTAAAAAACAAATCTCGACAGTACAAATAAAAAAAACATTTGCAATTTTCCTTGTTCCAAAAACATGGATCTACCCTTTGACTGTGAGCTCCCTGAGACAGACTGTTCTTTCCCAGAGACCTCCACGACACTGAAGAATTACGGCACCTCTGTAAGAGCTTGTTCTCAAAAGATGAGGAGCTAGATGTGTTTTTTGTTAAGCACCTAGCTACAAGCACTCCTGTCTGTACTAGCACCTGGTTCTTGTAGAACCTAGCTACAAGAACTCCTGGTTCACTTTGGGAGCTAGTTCCTGAAACATTAGGACACGAGATTTGACCACTCTCCTACATGCAAAGAGGAAGACTGCCTCCCCCAGCATTTCTGCTATGTTTAATTAATTAATTTGAATGTATAGATTCAAAATAATTCTCATTTTAAAAGTCTGCAAGTGGTTTTCCAGTAATGGGACTTTTACCTAGCCTGAAATTCTGGTCTACTGAAGTTAATTACATTTATGTTATTGATTCCAACATGGTCAAAAATTCATCCCATCTCTTTACATCTTTTCTTTCACTTCCATACTCTTACACAGATATCCTTCATCCTTTAATGCATTGTTGACAACATCAATACAAAAAACATTTTCTAAAGGTTTTGGTATTTGGATAACCATGATTTCTACACATCCAACAAGGCAAGCCCCATTGCATTTACCCTCTGTTTGATCTTGCTACTGTTTAAAATATTCAACAGTAAAATTTGGAAATCACTCTAAAATCAACTTGTGACAATTTGGTAAGCTGCTGATTTTTAAGCTGTAGACAAAAACATGCATATGCCATTTCGCCTCTTCAAGAATCTGCTAATTAGAAAGCTAAATTTTGCCTTTGTTTAAACATTCTTGTACATAGTTATAGTAAAAATTAACAATATCTCATTTCTGAAGAAGCCGTAACTCAATGTTATTGACCTAATACTGTTTAGCTGTTTACAAACAGCAGCACAGTACTTCAGTTGCAACTAAAACCTCCTGTATCTTTAAAACATGAACAAAATATCTAAAAGTATCTGCAAACCAAGAAAGCAAACAAGCTGCTGCATTGTTTCAATGTTTTGACCAAAACAGATGTATGACAGGAATACCTCAACCTAACCCTAGAAGAAGAAAAAGCAAAGAACAGATTGTCCTTTCCACCTGTGGTGGCTATGGACACACACACACACAAAAAAACACCCAAAAACCACCAAACCCAGACTCATTCCTCTTGGGGTCACACAATAAAAAGGAGCATCACAACTTTTACAACATGAGTTCCCCAGTACGCCAATTTCTCTGGATATCTTCTTGTCAAGCAACAGAGACTGTCCATACATCACTGCTCAACTATTTTGTCATTGCATGAACACTGCAGTGCAGCCAAGTCGATCGTACAGGTATATTTTTTGTCATATGGATCGTATCATATGAACACTGGTCCAGCAGAAAACAGAAGATCCTTTGTGTGCACAATACAGTCAGTTATTATCTCTGGCTTCCACCTGGCCTGTTACTTTGTCTCACAGGAGACAGAACAGCTGGATTGGCAGCAAGCAAAACCCAACAGCTGATTGTTCCTACCAAGTAAATGCATGAGCAGGCAGGAGGTGAGAACGCTGCTTCTATGTTAACGCAACTAGTGAGAGGAACAGTCAGTAAGTCCCAAAACTGGAATCCAGCCTCAGTACTGTGAGAGGTGGGCCATCCTTTTTCATTCCTTCCCCTTCCCCTCAAAGAAAAATCAACAAAATATTCTTAGGGCAGTATATCAACGGAAGACGTTTATGGAAAACTTTATTCTTTTACACTTAATGTGTGACTGAAGGTTCATAAACTGATGTAACATCTACAGTTTGGGAGAAGTAGAGAACTTGTCCTTCCCTTACCACATTCTCTGTATCCTATTCCAGGATAGATAGTTTAGTTCAGATTCCTCTAAAGTTGAAGCAGGATGAGGAATAAAATTGCTCTGAAGAGGTTACCACAGCCCAGTAGCTGTAGCATTTATATTATCTTCTCATTTCAACAAGGATGGAGAACTGAACAGTAAACCAAAACCAAACAGCAACAAAAGCAACCAATGATTTCCTACACAACTAGTAGTCCTGGTCTGACTAAATCACTTGAGTTATAGTCCTTGCTACTAAGGAAACGATCTGGAACTTAAATTAGCATTGCTCACAATACAAGTCTAAAACCCAAAAGATCTGGACTAGTTTAAGACTAAGAAAGATTCTTCTCTTAAAAGAGTCTTCCAGTTGAGAAAGAGCTATTCACATTTAAGAATTAGGCACTGACGGGACAAGAGATTTGCCAACAAATACGCTGTAAAGCTGGGAACACAACTCCAGTCAAGTAATTCCATACTAATTCTGAATTCTCTCCTTAAGATGTAATGGTCAGATAAAGTTCAAAAAGAGAAGGCAGGGCCAAAAAAACGACACACAGATTTGCTCCAAGCACCTTTCGCAACCTCAAATGAAATTTTGTTACAAAAGGGATGTTACAGCATCTTCAGATGGCATAAACAGCCTTGTATAACACAACCATGCTTGCTGTATGTAGCGCCATCCCTTCGAATCAACAAATATGAGTATCAACTCTTGTTGACATGTGACATTGTGCAGTGGCTCCCACCAAGGTTATGATCTCACAGTTATAAAGTAAGGTTAAGTAAGATGGAACTTTGTTTCTAAACCTCCCTCTGCCATCGGCAAAATAACATGAGACTGTGGCCAATTCTTTTAACTTGTATCTCCTATCCTCAGCTTACAAAAGAAAGCTGATAGTTTTTGTTTGTTTGTTTGTTTATTTGTTTTTAAAAACTGGAGTGTTTCAGTGGAGCTCAACATAAATATAGTTTTCATACATGGCACTAGCCTGCTGGCAACACAAATGCTGAGCTGAACTCTCACTGGCAGCAACAGTTCCAATGTCTGTATTGTTTATATCTTTCTAACACCTAATAATCTTAGTATTTAAGTGAGAGTTGTACATCTGTACGTGCATACTTTCTAGAATAGTCAACAATTAAAAGCTATTTCAAAACCAGCCCTCCACATGAATTGTTGCTCTCTTACTCCTGTCTCCTGCAGCACTATGCAACCATGAAACAAAAAGCATTCCTGTGACATGTTCTGTACACAAACCTCATTAAAGGATGCACGGAAGTTTCATCAGAATTTCCTCCTGCCCCACTGTATGCCTATAACAACAATATATATAAATAGAGAGTATTTTCAGAAAAAGCTGAACTAAAGTTCAAAAGCACCTAAATTACTTTGGTGAGTCAGTACACATTTCTCAAAGTGAAATCCTGGCAGAGACAAAGAAATGGTCTTTGGGTTTTGTCTCAACATGACACTACAGACTCAGCTCAAAGATGCAATAAGATCACAGCTCAGTAACTGCACACAGGTGCTGGGGACCATAATGCCCATCATGCTCCATCACATGCAGGTAGAAGCTTTAGGTGTATGTCGTTTGCCATGAAATACTGCTAGAAGAGTGAGGGGTCAACAAGCTGGACAGGAGTCTGCCACCAGTGTGCTCTGCTGCAAGACTTGAGCAATACTAGTTGTTAAGTGTAAATTCTGTTGTTTAAATGAAGCTGTAGCCTGTACCATATACTAGGACAGTGTCACAAAAAAAATGACCCGAGATAGAAGGCGGAATAGTGCAGCACTGCAGAAGTCTCCCTCCTGCCGTGAGGGTCCCATAATAACAAATGGACATTTCACACATCAGCATTTCCACAGTGGGGGATCTGTGAGCGAGAAAATAAAATTAATGCACCAAAAGTCTTGTTCCTGCCCCCAACCCAAGGATTGCTGTAAGGACAGCTACTTTTTGAAACTTCTCTCATACTCTGATGTCATCTCCAGTTGCAGATAGTTTGTTTTCTTGCAGCTTTTTGGATAATTTTTAAAACTACCAAAATGAAACAATATCGTAGCATCTCTTCTTTCCCCAGGAAATTCCTATAGGTCTGAGACCAGCAGCCACACTGAGAGACTTTAATTAGCTGAATCAACATTTTCTAAGAAATTATGTCTAATGTGTAGCAGAAGAAACATTCTCACATATGCACTGGGTACTCCTAGGAGCACATATATTTATTTCTAGGTATCAGTAAGACATTTTTCATAATATACAAGTGTAACAAATAAAATACCATCTCAGAAGGTTTCTAAACAGTCATGTTATTACATGTCCAGGTATGCCAAAAATGGATTTAGGCTCTGAAAGTGCTAGCTCCACTGCTGGGTGCCTATAAAGCCCCCAGTATGTGGGTCTGCAATAAAGTAATGAAGAACTAGCCCCCTTCCTTCACTTCCACAATAAAGCAAAAAAGGGCATCAAGGGGGATAGGAAAGTCAAGCCTGAAAAGAAAACAAATTTGGCTGAAATCTTTGTCACTCATTTCCAGCCTTTCCTCAGATTTTAGTAATTTCACTACTAAATTCTTCCTCCCCACCTGCCCAGAACACAGTAGGTGGCAAACTGTCTTCTTAACTTAGGATTTCACTTACGGTTAAGTGGACAAAAAAACATAAGGTAGAGACTGCATTTCCTGTAAAAGGTAGAAAGCTGAAGAACTAGAGATGTCTCCTGAAAGTCTGCAATAATCACTGTCTACACTATAAGTTCAGTCAGAATTTCAGAAAGAGGAGACACAGTATTTTCTCTGCTAGACATTGTAAATAGTGGATCAAAACCTTACAGAATATTTGGATCTCCCCTGAAGTCATAGCACTAATCTCATACGAAACTGCGTTATTTAAATGTGAAACAGACTTACATTTAGGAAGCAGACTCACATTTAGGACTCCTCCTGGTTGCCACCGTATCGAGGTAACCCACCTTTCAACACGTGGCCTACTATAAAGTAATATATCACTCTATCACCATGCATAAGTAGCTTAACAAATGTACCTGACCAGAGCAATGGATATTTGAAACTGCTCTGTGAAGAAGATTATACTTTTTCATCCAAGCAGCAAAAAAACCCCAAACCCCAACCAAACAAGAACAAAATCCAAATTTATGACTCCTACTGATACTATAGCTGAAAAACACACAAAAAAGAAAAGCCAAAAAAACCCAAACCAGTAAAGTTTTCCCCTTTATACTAGTTTTGCCTTGTTTCATTACTAGGTGACACTCCCAACACTCTTTACTCCTTTCCCTCCTACAAAATACCCCCAATATTTCATGGACACATGAAGGAAAGGCTACTTTACATGTGAGCTCAGTGGCATGAAACAAATTGTTAAAAAGGGGTAGAACAAGGTTTTCAATCTCAACTTTGATACTGTGTAATACATTGCTCACACTTTGCGAACATGAAACTCAACATTCACCTGCTCAGTTGCAGAAGTTTCAAAAGAAAACAGTAAGTTCAATTCACATTAAATCTCTAACACTCCATAGAAAGCTGAGTCTACAGATATGGCTATTATCAAGCAATTTGAGCTTTCTGGCTATCAGTTTGCTCAAAATAATGTATAGGAAAACTTACAAAAAAATAAGATCGACAAACCTTAACACCATCTAGCTGACGATGGTAATTAACATAACCATGGGGTTTCCTGTTTTGGCAATGAGGGGGATGGCATCAGGGGAAGGGTTGTAAATATTTTCCTATTCATTCCTTAAAAAGACCCTCTCCCCCACTTTCCCCCTAACAAAAGGCTCAAGCATGCCTTAATTTATACATCTTCTGGATGGACAACAGCCCACAGGGAGAATGCAGCTGAAGCAGCATGTGGTAAATCTATTTATTCCTTAGCTTTCTCTAGCATTCCTCACTGAAAAGCTTACATTATATTAGTGTTACATACCACCAGTTAGTTTAAATAAAACATATGCATTTAAAGTTTTTCATTGATCCCGTCACTTCAAAGGCAGTTTTCCCCCCTTTCTTTAAGAAAGCAGCAGGAGAGGGAAAACCCACAATCAAACCTGCCTGAAAATGTGAACTAGTGAGACCCTCTATTTAAAGATTCTTGTTGCTTCAAGCCCAGCTGAAAACAGCTGTTCTACAGTTCTTGTTTGTCTTCCCAGTGGACAATGAAAAATGATTAATGTTGTTATTTTTACAGCTTTGTAGCAGTGCCATGCAATATGAAAGCAGGGCTATGTTTTGATGACAACATGCTATCTGGTACCATGAAAAATCTGTATTTTGTTACAGTCTGAACATCTGATTAATGCTTACAAGGTCACAGGCAGTGTTATCTTAAAAACACTAATTTCAGATGAGCAAGTGTTCATAAGCATCACACACCTTGACAGATCCCAATAAGGGAGAACCAAACAGGTAAAATCTGCTTCTATCTCAATTTGGGTTGCCAAGAAAGCAGTTTTGACAACCTAAACCTTAAACACGGAAGCTGCTAACAAAAGTATTATGTTACAAATCACAAAGCATGTTTCCTTGTAGACAAAAAAAAGAGATTAAAAAAAAAAGCTAACACCTCTGCTGCAGGAGATATATAAATTTAGAATACTAGTCAAGGACTTTTCTGCTATCTGACCGAAACCCTACTTTATAGAAAAAATCTCAACCACACACTTCCCCATTTTATACAGGGAGAGTGGCTGATATGTATGACATGAAAGATCAGTCTGATGCCTATAAGCAACCTGCAATTGATTCCATATCCTGGTCATATGATTGATGAACACAAGTCAACACCACTTAAATAGATCAATTTAACTAAGATGTTCAAATCACACCGTGCACGTTTTCATAATGAAAACATTTACTAAAATATGGGGATGGCAATGGCATGTTTTTCCAGTTCCTAGTCAAATGTAAAGAAACCCAAGCCACGTGTTCCATAAACTGATGTAGTTAATGCTACACCTAAAATAAATTTTTGACATCCAGTGTTGAAATCATCTTTTTCTTAATTGCAAAGAAGTCCTAACCAATACTTACCGTTTGATGTCTTCTGTAGCTCTGCTTTCAAATGTTCAACTTCCTTTTTCAATTTTTCATCAGTTGCTTCTGCTGACTCTTTCTTTTTACTGCTTCCTTTTTCACTCAAGGCCTATTAAAAACCACAGTTGCTACAATTAATTTTGTTTTCATTAGCCTGACATTAATGCCAAACAACTAGAGAATGTCAGCCTTGATCTTGCAAAGCGACAGGTTTTATCAAGTGCCAGCATGACACGGGCAGATACTCAGTCATTCTAGAAAAAAAAAAACAAAACCAAAATTAAAAAAAAAAGAAAAAATGCTCAATGTTTTAAGTTGATTGTTGACATACTTGTAATAGTAGGGCATTATCTCCTGTATAAGAGTACGTTGTAACTCTGCATCAAGCCCACAGCTTCTGTTTAGGTTATAAATGGCTTTTCCAGAAGACATACATTGGGACTGCAAGTGACAGAACACTGCCATGTTTATGTGCAACTTGTTCTAATAATTTATTCTGATTTAAATCATGTAATACATGTAATACAAATCTCTCCTTGTAGGTTTGCAGCTACTTCTTCAATCCTCAGAATACTTCAATACCCAGATTAGATTTCCACTGAAATTCAAGAAAAAACTAGGAAAATATTCAGGAAGAGCCCTGTAAGTACTAGACACCAGAGCAGTATACTCCCTGTACTCTGAAAATGTTGGCATTACTATACCTATGCAACACTCTTATCATTAAGGCAATTGCTATTGATGACTTAAAGTATCATACGTTAAGGATTAGACCCCATAATTAGACCCCTTGCTCATATATAGACTCCATTATCCAACAAGCATCATCTCTGTTACAAAAATAGCAATAGAAGTGGTAAACACTTAGTGGGAAAAAGAAAAGTAGAACAACTGAGATGAACACCTGTTAGGTGAACTTGTGATATCAGAGCTTACTGGGCACAGGTGGGAGCAGAGGGGAAAGATTACTTTAGGAAGAAGGAAAAGAACAGTTTATAAAGACTGGTAAACAATCGAAACAAAAGAGCTGAAGAAAATTTTCCAGAAGCAATTTAACCAAAGAGCAGAGATTGCATTTGACTGCTGGTAACAAAACCATAGCCAATTTGTCATGAAATTGGCCACAGACTGCCTCCTTTACTTTGTGCTCCCCTCTTTCTATTAATATGCAAATAGTTATTTCTACAAACTTTTATCTTAAGTCCCGCACTCCATGGAACCTTTGAACAGGAGCCAGTGCAGACCTAGCACACTAGAGTAAACTTACAGTATTTATACTTACAGCCAGTGCCCTATATCCAATTGCTCTTGCCTCTCTCTGATGGTGGAATGAAGCACGCTTGTAAATGAACACAAATGCAGGGGCCAAGCCACAGAGGAACCTAAGTCATAGTATCTCTATGAAGTTAAAATAAACCAATCCTAAACACTTTGCATCTCCAGCACAATGGAGATCCAGCCACAGCATGCTGGCTGTACCTGTGGCTACCACTGTTTTTGCAAACCATGCAATCAAACACAGAAATAGAAACAGTCAGGAATACAGTTTCCAGTTTCTGGCTATCACTTACAAGCAGCTAAGAGAATGTGTTGCTAAGAGAATGTGAAAGCAGAACAAAGAGAGGACTTTTGGCCAAATCCCAACAGGACAGAAAGGAAAAAAAATGTACCAGTATGCCATAAAGAGACAAATTCCATGGCTGAGGGAAGGAGTCTGGATCATTTTGACAAAATATCAAATCCCCAAATTCTGGAATCATTTCATACTTAGGAAATAACTTACACATACTCTAGGGATCCTTGTTTTACGACACCTCTCAAATAACTGGATTTTTTTGCACCCCTTCTGATATTTTTTGTCCAGAGTCTGTTCTCTTTGTCTGAAGATTTATTACAAAAAATTACAGTGCTGGTAACCATAGACACTGCTCCAGACAAACTAGAAGGAAACCTGTACACACCTGCAGTGAATTTTGTTTTGACAATGTGCCAGACTGAAGAATGCTGTAAGAGTCTTCATACCCTGGATATCTGCATTCTAGCTTATGGTTCAATCTCTTCCAACAGAAGTCAAACTAACCAATTGTGAGAAAAGATTTCATACCTTTATCTTTATTATCTTTGCTGACTTCCCTTCGTGCATACAACTGTATATTGAACCACAACAGACAAATGATAGCTTAATTTTCTCCATTCTTCCCATAAAAATAACATATCTTTGGTCCATTAGTAGTTCTTTTAAGTAAGAATTTTTTGGTAATATCCTCATTAATACTACAGCAATGCCTTACTGAGGAAGGAAGGTATTAGGAAATTGGCTGGCCCTCCATAAAAATAGATGCAAGAATACAAAATACAGTAAACACAAAAGACCAATTTTACAAGTTAGAAAAGACACTTCAGGACTAGAGCAAATCCTATTTAGAAGAAACAGCCATCACGAGAACAGCTACATTGTAGGCTTTTCCATACTGGACTGCTATAGCCCTGACCTAAACAGCCAACTGTTTACAATAAAAAGAATAAAATTAGTGTCTCACTCTACTTTGCTACGATTAAATTCAAAGAGATATTTTAAGAATATATTACTACTTTGACAAAATTTGTACTGGAAAGAGAACTTCATTTATTTGGATTACTTTAGTTTCCTTTGTTAATAAAATGCTACTGAAATTTGTATTCAGTATTCTGAATTATATATTGTAAGAACATTGTTCTTCCTTTTTCCACCAGAAGAAAAAAAATAGAACGAACATTATTCAGTAGCAAACCATCCCCAGAGTATTTTGTACTAACTACTTGCTGTATAAGAAAATAACTAAAAAAGTTCAAAAATACCTCCTGCAGCCTTTCATTCTCGGCCATGTATTTTTTGGCTGCTTCAGTAGCATCATTTACTTGCATTTCCAGAGCTGCATGAGATGCCATCCCTTTTGCCAACTGAGTAAGAAGGGTAACAGTACGTCTCAATACACTGGTGAAGAAACACAGTGAACAGCACAGTAATTCACTATACAAATTAAAAAAAAAAGCCAACAACAACAAGAAAACCAAACACCAACACAACCCCTTTTCTCTCTCTCTGCATTAGATGTGAAAACAAAACCACAAGAGGACTGTTTAAGCACCTGAAGGGAAACATCCAGGTTCATTGATGACAAATAATAGTAAAATAAGAGACTGAAAAGATTTTCATCCACCAAAAGTCTGATTTTTACCTGATGCAGAACCTCCCTCCTCCCAAAAACCCACAGCCATTAAGGGGTCAGAGACCTGGTTGCTTAAAGGCTGAAATACTCTTACTCTTGTAAGACCTAGTGTTTTAAATACGATGGATCCCTGAATACAAATACAGGCAACATGTTATGTACTCATGTAATGAGTACAATGCAAAAAAAACCAAACCCAACACAGGTTTATAAAGGGCCTTACAAGAATAAAATTAGCAATGTGAGCATATTAATCTTCAAAGTACTCTGTCAATACTGTCTAAATCAGAACATGCATGAATGTCAGCACTCACATGGCACCTCAAATCTAAGCTTTGCAAATACTTCCCTTGATTTCATCTAGTGATTGCCTCTTTGCATCACTACTTTTGTTATTCATCTTGGAGTCTTTCAAAGCAGTATGTTGCTGAATCAAAGAAAGGCCAAAGCAACACTGAATTAAATTAATTCCTGTAATATAACTACGCAGCTGTTCTTCAAAAGAAATTAGAAAATCCAAGCAATTGGCTTTTTCATAACTGAAAGCATATTAATAGACCTTTTGGCTTTCAAGGTAAGTCCTCCTCCCTGCTTTCTCATTGAAAGCTCATTTTCTTTTTTGGTTTTAATAAAAAAGTTAAGGTCCCATGTCACTACTTTTCGAAGGGTTAGCATCTTTTACTATTGCTTATTCATTTATAGATGGAGCAGTCAGGAGTCAGTAAAACGTCATTACTAAAACAGAATCACAGGATCACATAGGTTGAAAGGTGCTTCCAGAGGTCATCCTGTCTAAGCTCCTGCCCAAAGCAGGGACAGGTAGAGCAGACTGCTCAGAGGCTTGTCCAGTTGAGCTCCCACTATCTCCAATGATGGAGATTCCATTGTCTTTCAGGGTCTTTGTTCCAGTCTTTGACTACTCTTGATAGTAGAAAAAGTACTTTTTATCACAAGTCAATCACAAGATTTCCCAGGTTCCTGGCCTGTTGCCTCTTGTCACTCCTGTGTGGATCCACTGAGAAGAGCTGGCCCCACCTTCTTTACATCCTACCACTAGAAAGCAATAGGATCTCCCCTTCAATGTCTCTTCTTCTGGCTCAAGCCAAGCTCCCTCATCCTCTCCTCATAGGTCATGTGTTTCAGCCCCCAACCTTCTTGGTACCCCGCTGCAGCACTCCAGTATTTTGGGGAGTCAAAACTGGACACAGTCCTGCAGCTGCAGCACCACATGTGCCAGACAGAGGGGAATAACCATTTCTCTTGGCCTGCTGGCTACACCCTTGCTATTACAGCTCAATACACGATTGGCTGTCTATCAGGATCCCCAGCTCCTTTTCCGCAAAACTGCTTTCTACCCAGCCAGCCAGTCAGTCCCCAGCCTGGATACTGTATGTGGTTATAAGATGATGGACTTTGCATTTGCCTTTGTTGAACTTAATGGTATTTCTGACAGCACATTTCTCCAACCTGTCTAGCTCTCTCTGAATAGCAGCCCTGCCCTCCAAGATAGCAACCACTCTGATGTGGTACTGTCTCCAAACTTGCTGAGAGCGCATTCAATCCCATCATCCAGGTTGTTAATAAGGACATTAAACAGTATCGAGCCCAGTACCAATCCCTGAGGGGCACCAGCTAGAATTTGCGTTACTATCATCCTTTGAGCCCAAAGGCCCAGGGAATTTTCATGGAATCATAGAATAGTTTGGGTTGAAGGGACCTTTAAAGGTCATCTAGTCCAACCGCCCAGCTGTGGGCAGGGACATCTTCCACTAGATCAGGTTGCTCAGAGCCCCGTCCAACCCACTTCTCTTCCACCCACTTCTTTCTCCACTTCTGCAGCCCATATTCCTCCAGAGTTAGGCTATCACAATACCACAAGAAACTATGTTAAAGGCCTTGCTAAAGGCACACAACACCCACTGCTCTGCCCTTCATCAACACAGCCAGTCATTGCAGAAGGCAACACCGATGATCAGGCATGACCTCCCCTTAGTAAATCCGTGCTGGCTGTTCCAAGTCATTGTATCCTTCATGTCCCTGGAAATGGCTTTGAGTAAGATTTGCTCCATAACATTTCCAGGGAGGTGAGGCTGATTAATCTCTAGTTCCCTACATCCTGCTTTTTGTCCTCTTTAAGACAGGTGCAATGTTTGCTTTTTTGCAGTAACCAGATCCTCTCCTGATCACCACGTGTCAAAGATGACAGAGCACAGCCTTGCAATGACCTTGGCCAACTCCCTCTGTATGCAAGGATGCATCCCATCCTAGGATGTCACGGACTTGTATATGCCCAATCTGCTTAAGTACTCCCTAGCTGCATCTTCCGCTACTATGGGTAATGTCACATTCCCCACCGGACTCTCCTAGAAGGCTCAAAGAATTGGGAGGCCAAACAGCAGACCTTATCAGTAAGAAACAATATAACGTAAGGTTCGTAATGAGACACTCAATGCCTTATTCTTTTCCATATCCTTTGTCATTTGGTCCCCTGCCCCAGTGAGCAGTGGGCCCACGTTTTCTTTAGCTTTCCTTTTGTTTTCAGCCCTTCTCATCCCTCTCTGGTTCAGCACAGGTAAAGAGGGAGCCAGATAAGCCTTGCCAGGCTCTCCACATCTCCCAAGACATCAAGTCAGACTAGCAGATGGGTGCCTATGTCCTGCCTAGGGGACAGTCTCTGGTAACTATGACCCTCTTCTTTTCTGCGCAGACAGCTGGTGGATGAAGGCTCAGCTGGCCCCAATACCTCCACTAATAGGAGATCATTTTCCTCACCTGTACCCAGTGTTCTGCAATTGCTGAACCACAGATGGAGAAGAACTTTTGTTGTGTTGCCAGAAGTGACAAGCTTCCAGCCTCCTCCATCTTGGGAATCTCCATCTACCACTTTTCTGGAATTCTCTTATTGGCTGATGTGCTAAAATGAATCAAAACTGACCCAAAGAATGAACCAGGGGCGTCCAAGTACCTATTCACACCTACATGGGGTCTTAACTTGGTTGGGTGATGGTAGTAGCAGTGTAGGATAAGGCAACCCAAGGAACACTTTTTTCCCCCTCCTCTGACAGACATTATGCCTGTTTAATGGATAAGCAAAATAGCTCTACTAAGAAAAGCCCTTTGATCTAGCAACCACTGTAGGAGCATTTATTTCTTCTAAATCTTGGTTAAAGGCCAGTAGCCAAAAAACAAACCTTAAGCAAACCTCTCCAAGAACAGAACTTTTATGTACAATAAAATCTATTAGGGCCACCTGACAAGTTTTCTTCCTTGAAAGCCGAGTGGGAGTAGGATCCTAGGGGACCAGCTTCCAACTCTAGTGTAGGACACAATCCAGCTATTCCTCTCTTGGAGCAGAGATCACAAACATATTTGTGCATATTTACTTAACCTTTCTGAAGGAAGACAAAGAACATGATGCATTCCTATCACTATTGTGCAAGGCTACAGCCACCTTTGTTTTCTCCAAAGTTTTCCTGCTCAAGTTTTGTACAAGTTTTTCCTTGATACTTCTTTATGTACAATGCTCCTCAATGATCAGCTAAAATGGCCACACATCACTCCAAGGGGAAGAAGTTTGTTAGAATTCTCTGACTCCAGGCATTTCCTTGTTCTGTGTTCCTCTTGTGTATCTAGGCAATGTCAAGCAGCTCACTATAGGAATTCAGAAGAGGGCCAGCATTCTTTGCCCGTGTCACCATAAAAATGTACAAATAGGAAATCGTCTGACCAACATATCTGTTTCCATTCATTCACATTATCTGTGTCCAATTAGTTCATGTGCTCCTTGCCCAACTAAGAAGATCTGCAGGTTGTTGTGGCTACTGTGAAGATTCACAGGTAGTCTTGACTGCTACCACTGGGCAGTACAGAACTGTCCTTTCCACTACCCTGTTTTATTAGCTGTATTTAAACGTCCTGAAAGAGATACTGCTCTTAAGATCATAATATCATAATAGGCCAGTTACCACAAAGTGCTTGATCTGAAATAATATCTGAAACTCTCCTTGGAAGCTGGAACATTATCCTACAGTTCCTAACTTCAAGCTTTAGATGAAGTGGTTCAAGTCGGACTCAAGCTTTGCTTCTTAATACAGCAGGATGCAATAATACCTTCTGGCAACATATTAAGATTATTTTAACGATACTTTAGTTTTTGAGGGTTTTTTATTCCAGTTTTCTGTGTTCAAAACAAACAAAACACAGGGCGTAAGTTTAAGGAAGGAAATGAGTATTCCCTGAAGAAACCTCTCCTGCAAAATACATGTTCTCTCAAACATTCAAAATGTTTCTTTCCATGTGTTGCTCACATATCCTTCCAATCTTCAAACATTTGTAAGATATTATTTTCCCTGATCTTACTTGCCTTATAGCCAATCTGCTCACACTTAATTCTTTAATCTCTTGAAATCGGCCTTCTGATCTTTTTTTTTTTTGCATTTAGTTGCATTACTTTGTGCGACAGTTCCTGTAAGAAACATGCTATGTAGAAATTAGAAAAATGTTATACTTACAGCCAAAGAAATAAGGAAAAACCTGAGAGATAGAGGTTCCTTTGCGATCGTAAGAGGTTCATCTGAATATGATCAAAGGCATTGGTATTGACATTTGCAGCCTTCTCATTCACATGAACGGCCGAGTACTTCCTAACTTCTCTAACAGCATCTGCAAAAAGAAATAGTTTGTTCTTATTCACATCTGTGGGTATGCATGCATGATAAACCAGACATAGTACTAGAAATATGTATTTGGACTTTCTGCTCAGCAAACAGGCATAGGACAAATAATGACATCACTTATGTTATCCATACATTCTAAAGATAGGTCTTGATGAATCACTGAAGCGATATAACATATTTCCGGAGATATGCCAACCATTGTCCAAAACATGCTTGAACAGTCATTTCCAACACTTGCACCCAGCCACCAGGGATCAGGCCAAAGCAACACATTCTACAAATGTTACCAGAGACCCTACAGACAGTGTCAAAACGTCACTGCTGACAACCGAATTAAGATCCCGCCAATGGACAGTGAGAAAACAGAAAGAGAAAGGAAAAAAAAGAGATGCCTTCTGAAGTATCTGCCTCATATGGAATTTGTTAGATAAGCATGTATTTCAGTAATGACAAAAGCATCTACTTTATGCTTGAATCAGTGAGGGGAAAAAACTATTTCTATAATATCCATCAAAACAGGAATACTGCAGTAACACAGTGTTGAACATAAACAGAACAGAGGGGGTAAGCTACACCTCAGCTTTCTTTCAACTGCCTTTCATCCATCTTTCAGCTTCCTTTCATCCATCACATACTCCTGATATTTCTGCAGAAGAGCCAATACACTGCCAACACTTTTCAAAGAACAACATAATTAATTAGGACATACGTCTACATAAAAACAAAAGCTAACCCAGTTAAGAGTTCATATTACAATCTGTAAACTTAAGGTCATCATACATACTTAAGCCCACAGAGCACCTAAAATCTCCTCCTGCACATCAACAAAAATACACGTCATGACACATCATCAGTTCTTGTAGAATATTTTGTCCATGTGTTACTAAATTGCTGCTGCATTTCTTTAAGCAGACAAAATCAATTCCACAGAAAAGCATGTGAGAGTAACATCACTTATGACTGTCTCTTATGTTCATAAGTTATTTAGAGAGAGGAAAAAAAAAAAAGAAGAGATTTGAAGTGAAACTTCAAACTATGCAACGAAGACTAAGACCAAACAAAAATCCATATCCCTGTGCTATGGGAAGATTCTAATCCTGCAGTAATCTATCAACTTACGCTATGGGGCAAGCATCTTACCACTGCTTTATTTTAGCCCAAATCTATCTTTCCACAAAATCAATAATCATCACCAACTTAAAAGCAAACTTTTTCAAAGTTTTTCAATTGGTTTTCAAGAAGAGTAAATTAAATCCACCAGTTCTCAATCTTAAGCCATTTACTGAAGGATCTACTTCTAAAGATAATACTAAAGATCACCTAAAATAAAAAAAATGTTTATTTGCATTTCCAGTACTTTTTTAAATATTAGGAATATAGTATTGCCGTCTAGTCTGACTGTTATATATGTAGTGCATCTGTATGCTTCTCTCAGCAGACAATAAAACCACGTATTTTTTCTTTGTATTTTAAGTAGCTTGGAATTAAATTGCATTTTCATTGTAAGGCACTTGAAACACTTCTATCCATGGAGAAGAACTACTTCTATCACTAAAACACAGGAGAACTATTTCCATCAATTAAATACATGAGATACTTACCACACAAACCACACAAAGCAGTCAGGACAGACATTAAATGAAATCAGTCAGGCATATGGTTGTCATTCAAGCTCTAATTTCACTAAAGCTGTACTCCTACTTGATAGACCCTAAGATCTACTCATAACAAATGTAGCCAACAGCTGTTTTGTATCTGTGCTGAGCAAAAGTACCCAAATAGCCCAGTGCTCTGATATATCCTTCCGGTCTTCTGTTTCAACAGCAACCAAGAGAAAGAGTGCCATCTACTGCATATTGAGCAGCTCAGCCTAATTCTGGTATAAAACATTTCAAGTTCATTTACTTGTGTGAGAAAGTAAAAACAAGCAGCAGCCTAGACCACACTCCATTTTTCCTCCTCATTCACTACTATATTACTATTGCATTTGGATTCCCAACACATATGCAGTATAAGCCCTCTCCTCTTCCATTCTACTGTAGAACTTTTAAACATATTAGCTGATTTACATTAGGCTTGAATCTTTTCAATTAACCTACTGCCATGAACTCCATATACCGTTTTTTTTCCCCCCATTTGTTAAGAAATTATATAACACTTACCAAGAAACAAGACGATCAGTAAAACTATTATTGTAAGGAACATCTTGTTCCAAAAAACTGCCATTTTGCTCCATAGAGGAATCATAAAAATCTTCTGCCATCTGTAAAATAGCACTGTGTTATTCAAAAATAATTAAACAGTAAAAGAAGAGCATAATGACCTCACAGAAGAGAGCCTTGTTATTGATATGAGACTTATGTAAGGTCTCTAAACAGCTGCTTTAATTGCAATATAATTTAGGTATATGTAACTTTTCCAACAATCCAACTTGCTTGTCTCTTTTTTGTTTCTTGTCAACACAGGCAAAGACAGCTGGTTCAACTTAAAAACTTCTCGCATGATAGCAGGTACTCTCCAGATATGTTTTATTTTAGCTTTTACTTTGGCTAGCATTACTTTGTGTTCAGTCCTGACTACAATAAACTCAGGGATAGGATAAAAACTGTAAAACCCATTCCATCATTTTTATTTCTACCCACTTATACTCCTTGTTGCCAAATAAAATAAAACCCCTCCACAAATTAAGATCGTCTCTACCATCCTTCTTCATAAGGCTTATCTTTTACATTGATCAATCTGCATAATTATAAAGTACAAGGATTGTTATTACATTCTAACTTGCAAAAGACAACAAAAGGACAAGTCTTGTGTTTCTGTTTTGTCAAGTGTTAAAACCTCTTTCAAGAGCATAAATTTGTTCACTAAGGAAGTAACTTCAGAGGCCCAATGGTGGTGAAGACCATTATTTTTTTTTGTTTAAACAATCAATTGCCTATTCAATATTACTGAACAGAGGGCTCTACAAGAATTCACACTTGCAGCACAAATGAAGAACATCTGATGTGCTCAAATCAACTGAAACCCACAAGAGACAACAACAGAGCAGCTACTTGTCCTTTGCTGCTGGTTAGAATCAGTGCTACTGCAGAAATGAAGTAATACCTAGTTATGCCATCAGGGATGTAACACAGGCATGCTAGTCACTGTCTGATTATATCAGGTAAAATTTCCAACTTTTGTTAAGAGTATTGACATTTTCCAGAGACTGTTAAAATTCGTCCTTTAACAAAGCAGTTTCCGACCTACTATGAATCTAACTTAACTTAGACTGTAGCATCATCTCCAATGGTTCCTTCTGGTTCTGCACCAGCAAGAATTAAAATATTTTAGCACTGTATGTGCAAAAACCTCATTTAAATCTTTTAGTATAATCTGAATTCTTTATAGCAGACAGCCATAGTCTGTATCAACCAAAAAGCTTACTTTAATTAAACCAAGCTATAACTCAAACAAAGCCAACTGGCTAGCTCTTTAAACATGCAATTCTCCAAGTTTCATATTGATCTCCACTTAGGAAGTGATTCTCTAAGGTATGAACTTAGACCAAGTATACTGCCAAGTTATGTTCAGGCTAAAAATAAGATCTCTTTACTGCAAAGTCTTCCTATGTCATATTTTCATGCTTATTTTTCCTCAAAAAGTATCACAATTCACATTTATTAATGCTGCATTTCCTTTTGGTGACAGAAGTCACACAAATATAATCCTTCCGAATTACAGTACCAGCCACCACTACAGATGTACCACACTTGGCAGTACAGTTCTGTCTTTTTGTGTACTTGCATTTTTATATTGTCAATTTACTTATTCCCCGGGAACTTAAAAGCTTGTTAGCAAATTTGAAAAGGAGTTCATTATCCAAAAAATGTGCAGGCACAAAAAAGGTAAACAATCTGTTTGAAGACTGACAAGCGAGTAAATCAAAACTTTAAAGAACAGCAGTTTCATGTCTGTCTTTAATCGTGCATGCTTTACTGCTCTGACAGAACCAGCTCCCAGGCCACCAAGATGCGCAAGGCAGAACTGCTGCCCTCCAGTACTGTCATAGCAGCTAAATCTAATCTTTAACCCCGCAAGATTCCTGCGACAGTTTTGTTAACAAGATAATTGAACATGTCACATAAAAGATAAAGCTATTTCACTCTTTCAGAAACCACTATTCAAAGGAATAGCTGAATGCTACAAACTAAGGGCAAAAATCTATCCTTTGTATATAATTAAAAGCACTGTGTTTAATGTTTGAGTTAAGTTTTGGTAATACTGCAGGTTATGAATTTGTTTTTCAGCCACAAAGACTGGATTCAAGCCCTATTTATGGCATAAGTGAAACCTATTTCAGTACTCCCAATGTACTGTGCATGTGTCATCAGCCCACAGAAATTCTTGCAGCTAGTTTCCTCACATAAGCCATTAATAATCTGATGATTACAACTCCCATAATACTTATCCCTTCTTACATACAGTTGCACTTTTGATTGGAAAACAACAGAAAATACGAGAACTTAATAATCTATGTTGAAATGCTGAACTCCTCACAAGCCAGCTTGTAAAAATCAGAGATTAAATTACATTTATAACAGTTTCAACTTCTGAAGTTGAGGAAACATGACTTATCATTGATATTGGTGGTGGATGAGCCAACCATTTTGAAGACTCTCCCACAGGTTTACATAGTTAAATTCAAACTCTCCACACTGCAGGGTTTTCGTTTAGGTTTTGTTCCTTCACATATTACAGTAAAAACTGCATTCTTCATTCTAAAGATGCAGAAAACAAACATGTAACAGTTTTTACACAACACTGAGACAGTGTTTTGTTCTTTTTTTTTTTTTTTTAAAAGCTTTAAGGTTTTATCCTACTTGTTTTTTTTTTCAGGAAGTTGGGTTTTTTTGAATTACTGATATTCTGGGAGGAAATCATAACTCTGTTTCTCTTGCTTCTTGCAGAGAACCTAGCTTTCTTTATTTCTTATAAAGAAATAAAAATAACACTACCAAATTTGAAGAGCTACTTACAGGAAACAAGATAAGGTTGTAAGCCAGGCCTTTGCATACAGTAAGAGTAATTAACACATTTTGTTTCTTTCCCTTACTTAGGGCATTAATTTTACAAGAATGAATTCTTTTTCTCAACGTTTGTGTTGTGTTCTAGAGGTGTTATTATTTTGTTTATCTATATACAAGTTTACAGAGGCCTTTATTTCAGCAGTCCTGAACCTTTTGCATCAAGCTGAAGTCTGCATTTTTTAAAACAAATGATCACAAATTTCTGAGCGCCCTTACACACGCTGTATGGGGTTAGCTTTGAATATCAGATGTCTCTTATCTGTTCAGCACCCACAATGCCTAGTGCACACTAAAACGTAAAGCTGCTCCTCACAAACTTGACAAACAACTCCTGAAAAGGCCGCACCATCCTCTCATTTCTTACTGAGCTCATAGCAAGGGAAGCCAGATGCCCTCCTGTATGCTGGCTACTCCAAAAACGCCCGAGGGAAGACTGGGAGACGACGTCCCACTTGCTGAAGCAAAGCAATGGGGCTCATCCTGGGAACCCCGACTGCTGCTCGGATGAATCAGCAGTGTGTGTAAAGCAAACATAAAGCTCCTTAAAAGAGGCTTATGATTCTTGAAACTCCTGACGCTCAAGTCCCGAACAGCATTCCTTCAGCTTAGTTCACTGTTAGTTTAAGAACTCGGCTTTTATAAAAACAAAAACGTAAAATAAACCCAAACCGTGAGAAGGCCGAGCTGGGGGTGTCCAGCACACTGAAGTCCTACCTCAGCGGAGAAATAAACGGCAGGCAGAGCACGAGAATGACTCCTATTTCACCGTACAGAAAGGTGGCAACTGCCGTCCACTGGAAAGTCATCGTCCCGGCGGGCCTGCGGAGGAGAGCGCGGCCCGGGCGGGCCCAGGCTGCCTCGCGTTGGGCCACGGAGTCTTAAAGGGAAATGTTGCTGAGCGACTTAACCGCAGCGCCGGGGGAAGGGTGGGGGGGGGTCCCCCACTGTCCTGACTTC